TTATATCAAAATATAGCTCTCATGAACTCCTAAAACTTTTGTATGAAACATTTTTGTGTATTTCCTTCAACAAACCAGATATTGCCTGTCACATAAAATGTGGGACACCCGGTATATCTCTCTCAACAAGTCTGAGAAGACAATTGAATACTTGAAAAGACTACTCCATAAACGATTAGGCGAAAAGGGTCTTGTCGGATTGGCACAAAAATCATCTCCGAAAATTTACCCAGATTCCTTGTGCAATTATTGAACCATACCCTGTAAAATCCCTATATATCAAACCCTGACGACCGAAATTTGTTTAACCCTTCGAGTAACAAAATCAATCAAGAAGGTTTTTCCAGCCAGCAGAAGTTTCATTACTATCTCTGACTCATTTCAGCATCTCGGGCCCCAGTCATTACGACGCGAAATCAACAAATTTCATCAAAGGCGGCGGATCAAATTACGAAGAAGCCGAAAAGGCAAGTCGCGGGAAAGAGGGCGAGACGGGATACGCGAATCGGGACGAATTCGCGAAGGGCCTGAAGGGTCAACACGGGAGCGAAGAGAAAAAGGATTTCTACGACATTTTGGCTGGAAACAAAGGAGCACATCACGAGGAAGACGGTCACTACGCCAGCAGACACCAGTCTAGCAAGGGCAGCAAGGGAGGATCGTTCTCTAGCGAGGGAAGCCACGACAAGGGATCAAAAACGACCGGCTTCCATAAAGTCTACCACAAAGACGAATATAAGAAGGATCACAGCTTCTACGATAAAGCAGATAAGAAGGGTCACTTCAACAGGTGAGGCTTTTTCGTATGTTCGTTTTCTTTGGGAGTTTTATCGACTTTTCCTTCCGTTGGGAATAAAAGCTTTTTATAGGAATTAATTTTGGGAGAATTTCCTTTGTGATACAGCCCGATTCGAAATGAGACACACCTTTTTTATATTATATATCACTTGAGAACTGAAACTAGTGAAATAATAGTGCTTATTACGATGCAAAAAACAACTTAACAATCAATTACCACCACCGGTGTAACAAATTAAAGAATTACCTGTCTCAAACAAATTTATTTCTAATAATATTTCACTAGCATAAACTAATTTATATTCAACACTTAGCAACTAACGCTCACTTTATTTCCACTATTTGAATTCCTTGTTTAACCGCTCGATTCACTTTCTAAATTCAACTGCCCTCTTTGGACGAGAAGCCGGCCTTTTATATCGGTAAAGGTCCATCGTAGAATTCTGTAGTCTGTTCGGTACTCGCCTAGACTTTTCGTGGCAGTTTCAAACTGCATTCGCGGTGAGTCATGTATTTATTCGATGAATTGGCTGACATATGGGTCAGGGGCGGCTTTAGATTCGTTACAGAGTTTTTTCCCTTTTTTACACAAGAGGGTGATCTAGTTTTCTGCAACAACGTACCTGAAATCATGGAAATGTACAAAATCACCGGAGGAATGGAGACTTTTCATCAATTCGCCAAAAAGGAGTTTGAAAACTGTACTTCTTCACAATGGTAACCAATATGCTTCTCTGCCTGATGGACACTAAGTCCATTTGAAAGAATCTAAGGAAATTTCAAGTTTGTTCTTAATAAGATGAGCTATTCCTAACCATAAATGGGCCGTTAGTGTTGATTTGAAAGTTATTTCCATGTTAATAGGTCAACAAAGTGGTTACATAAAGTTTCCATGTTTCCTTTGTGAATGAGACAGCCGTAATAGAAAACAACACTATGTCAAGCAGGCTTGGCCGACCAGAAAAGCTCCTATTCCTAGAGTTGAAAATGTTGAAGGACAAAATTTAGTGGATGTGGATTTTCGGAATTTCTTCCTTACGTTCCGGTGGCGGGGTGACTAGCTTCTTCAGAAGTACATACATCCTGAGTTAATCTCCGAAGACTGGATATTATGGCTGCGTAAGACGTATTTATGTTACCTTCTCAGTTAATTTGGTGTGCTAATACTTGTACCTACCTGCCCGTGGATTGGGCAACCTATCGGGCGCGTCCCCAGGTGAGGGATAGGCCCGGACAGGGCCTCCAGTCCCCTGGCCGTTTCCCTTTGCAAAACATGCCACCGTGGACCAGCCTACCCAAACTAAGGTGTGAGGAATCGTGCCTACAGCTGAATGGCCTCAGGTTAATATACGGTTACGAACGATCCCCCTCAGGGAACTGGGCGAAATCTCATTGTAATCAGCCTACTTCTGGTAATGCGGGGCTCTGCCAGAGATGACCAACTCTTCCCTTGCTACCCGTAGGAACACACATCAATGAAACAAACAGAAATGAGGCTGGGACATAGCAGATCATCTCGTGATGTAATACAAAGGCCAAGGCGAAAGCGCATTTGCGGCGCCGAGGCCAAAAGGAGAAAGAGAGCGGAAGAGGCTGGAGTGGCAGCAGCTATAAGTGCACCCTCCTCCTCCCCCACTCCACCTCCAACAACAAGGGCACTTCCTGCGGCGGACACTAAGAGATCCGCCTTGAATAAAGGCAAGGAACCAGCTGCCTCTGCAGGAAAGCTCCCTGACTTGTGCACCTCCACGGAGGGAACCCCAAGAAGGTTGAAGAAGCCACGCAACGACACCTTCCAAAAGCTTCCAAAACCTTCGCGGAGCCACCGTGAGACACCTCAAGGTTGCCAAAGAGAGTGTGAGTTCGGCTAGTCTTGGCCTACACCTGCTAATATAAAGGAGATGTCTCCTAGTGGCCTGTCCACCATCCTGGAATGGACAGGATGGACGATGACCTAGGAGGAAAAGTCCTCGGAAGGATGTACAATGGGTCACGTATGGCCTACACTCACCTACACTCACCCACCCTACTCTACAGATACAGATACCTGTACCTGCAGGTAAATTGTCAATAACATTCGTCGGCCCTTTTCTACCTGCCGTCATGCTGTTTCCATTCTTGAACTTCTCAAAATTGGTTTCCATATTCGGTTGAAGTACACAGCTTCTTTTTTTCCGTGTGTTTGTGGATCTCTATTGCCTCTCGTACCAGTCGACTATGGTATCTCTGGTTGGGGAGTGATTAGTTCCATGTTTTCATACAGAATCCTTTGATTTCCTTCACTGCCAACTTGTCCGTTTGCCTAGTCTACAGTTTTTTTCATGCGCCTTCAGCCTTGTTCCCATGGATCTTTTGGTGGTTCCAATGTATACCTTTACACAAGTGCACGGTATGCGATAGACCCCTGCTGCTGATACTACGTCTCTTTTGTCGTTAGCCGACCTGGGGCTTTGTTGTATCTTCTTGGTGGGTTAGAAAACCGTTTTAATGTTGTGGTTCCACAAGGGTTGTCCAATTCTGTCTGTGGCCCTGCAGACTAGGCCAAATGGACAAGTCGGCTGTGGCGGAACACACAGATAATTTCAACACGAAAGAAGAAGCTGTGCTATTTCAAACGTTTCCATTGCTAGTATCCACAATCATCTTCCATTAATAGGTCATTCGAGTACTTCCACTTATCTCCGCTTTCCTTTTTCCGCTTCACCAGTTTAGTGGGAGATGACCGTTTGGCGGTAGTAGGCCATTTTTCGCTTGATTATGGGTTTTCATACGTTGAGTATCTCTACGCTAGCTTGGCTGAATACATTGTTGAACAACGTGTATACGGCTTCTTTGAATCTCCTCCTAAATCAATGCTCCCTCCCTGTGTATGATCTCAGCTTGGAACCACTCGATGTTATGTTGATGAGTCCAAACATGCTCTGATATTCCTGAATCGATGGTTTACCCTTGCTGTGTGTGTTTGTTGTACCCGGCAATGCGAACATTCAATGGCCTCTTAGTTTCACCGATATAGGATTTTCCGCGCTTACAGGGTATCCGGTAAATGCAATTCTTGGAATCGCAGTCCGCGTTTGGTGGCCTGGTTTTCGTGAAGCTGCTACGGATAGTGTTACCGAATCTGAAGCAGGTTCTGATGTTGTACTTGGATCCAATTCTTCTTATCCTTTCCAATAATCCTCTGATGTAGGGAAGTGCAAGCACTGGTTGTGACGGCTTCTCTTCCTTGCGAGGCTCCTGCTTTCATTTAGCCAAAGTCTTTTCTACCATCGCTTTGGAGTAGCCATTCCGGTGAAGATCATTTTTGATGATGTCTAGTTCCTTCCCTCGTATCACAGAGCCCGAAAGCACGGTCTAATAGAGTCTTGATGATTCCTCTTCTATTCGTTTCACAAGTTTCAACTGAAATCCTGACGTAGAATAAATCCAAAACTAGAACTTTCTCTAATTACCAGACATGCTCGACGCGCGTTTCTACAACCAATTTGGCGTATTCAGGTAAAGAGGTGAACATTGATTAAACGCACATTAAAAAAAGGATTGCTGTTCTTGTGACCTGGAAAAGTTCTTGTTTTGGATTGAGAAGTATTTTTAAACCGCGTTGAAATATCAAGATTCGATTGGTTTTTTCATATTTGAGTTTATCTATTGCTAAAATCCTGTTTCATATTAGGTACGGAAACTTTGACAGCAAGGGATCCGCTGAAGCTGACGCCTTCGCCAAAGGAGGAAACAACGAGGAAAAATTCAAGGAAGGAAAATACGGTTCCAGAGGCGAAAGCGACAAAGGTCATTTTCTAGAGGAAGCCAATGGTTACAAAGGAGCTGAAGGTAGAGGTAAATTCTACCAGAAAGGAGCTGCTTTCGCCAATCGTGCTGGAAAATCGTTTGGGGCTGTAGGAGGTTTTAGCGAAGGAAAAAATATTGGCCAATTTGCTGATGAAAAGTAGCGGCTGTAGAATATCCAGTATTTGATTAGTTTTTAAGTTATTTTTGTTTGTAACAAATGTTTGTTTCAGTATTTATTAAATGTTTCGAGTTGAAGATATGTTGATTTTGTCACCGGAGATTATTTATCGCCTTCTCAAATGTCCCACCAGCCTTTCAGTGGGAGTGGGTATAAAAAAAGAGAATTAGATCAATTCACGAATGGTTTATTGATAAAAGTTATGGGAAAGAGAGCATCGACCAATTATAGCAAACGACAGTTACAATTTCAACAAGAGGAGCAGGTAAAGAAAAAAACCGTAACTAGAGTTGTCAGTTTTAACTCCAACGATCAATCTACAGACGTTGAATGAATTACAAAGAGAAATAAATGATACAAAAATAAAGTCTTTTCTCACAATGATATCGTTTCATTATTCAACTGATAAATTATATTATCTCTAGTATGCATACCATCGTTTAACAGTTGTTCGAAGGTAGCTGGGGAAATGCTTTAAAATTCCATACAACTCACTAAACTAATACAATTGAAACTTTGTAAATTACTTTGCAGTTAGGTGAAGTGGGTAATGCGGATGTGCTGACAGTTTTGAACTGTTACTCCTGTCATGCCAAATCATCCCGTTCAGACCCGAATAAACGATAATAAGGAACAAGATTACCTTGATTAAGAAATGAGGCTTACGATCAGCTCTAATGTCGCTTCCAAAAGAGGTGACCCACTTGGGATTCCAAGAATCGGAGATTCGCCGGTAAATTTTCGTTTTGAGGACACCCGGCGATTTTTAAAAAATGTTCGCGGGTACTTGCGTATTTTGATGCGTAGATTACGAATCCGAAAGAAAAAAGCGGCGCTCTCCCTTATTTAAAAAGTTACGGCCCTACAAAGTTCAAAAAAGGGCAACTTTTCAACCTTCTTTTTCAGAAAATAAACTGTTTAAACACACAAGCATTCATTCACTAGGTCACCTTTACACCTTATTCCTCTTTCTTTGACACTTTTCACTTCAATAATGAACATTTTTCTTATAAAAAATTCAATTTAAAAACGAATGCTTCTCCTGGTGATATTATTCTATTTTTAGGTTAGTTACTAGTTACATTTCAGAAAAAAGCGGTTGGTAGAAATAGTAGACCAGTTCCTATGGCCTTACAAGAACAGGTGAGGGCTGAACTGGATCGTTTAGTTGCAAAAAAGGTACTGGAACTCGTCAATATAACTATTACACCTATTGCATGGGCAACACCCATTGTTTTGGCGATCAAATCGAATGGAAGCATTCGCATTTGTGGGAAATTTTCAGTAACAATAACTCCTAAAGTAAGAAAAAATGATTACCCTCTTCCCCGTTTCAAAGATATAATGTCAAAACTCAGCGGAGCCCGATACTTTTTCAAATCGATCTGAAGGAAGCATACCTTCAGTTGCAAGTTCATCCTGATTCAAGGGAATATATCAACAATCCAAGCTTATTATTGCTATAAACCACTTCCTTTTTGGGGTGAATTTTGCACCATCTTCATTCCAAAACTTAATGGATCAACTTCTAGCAGATATTGACGGAACAGTGTGCTATTTGAATGATATTTTGATAACTGCACCAAATAAGGATTTACATATGGTACGACTTAGACTAGTTTTAGAAAGATTACAGTCAGCAGGAGTTAGAACACAACAATGAAAGTGTAGATGGTTACACAGATGTGTGACATTTTTGGGTCACAAAATTGATGCAGAAGGATTGCATCCTACATCAGATCGCATTGAAGCTATAAGTGATATGCCAAGTCCTACAAATGTAAGTGAACTGAGATCTTTCTTGAGATCGATAACTTATTATGGACGTTTCATACCAAATCTACATATTATTTGCGTTCCATTACACAGACACCTGAAAAACAACTCAACATTCAAGTGGACAATCGATGAAAAATTATTCCATGAATTAAAGAATATCCCTAGTTCATCAGATACTCTGGTACATTTCAATCATGAATTGCCAGTAGTAGTTACAAGTGATGCGAGTTCGAAGGGTATTGGGTCAGTTTCATTCCATGAATTCTCTAATAAACAACTAAACCAATTGCTTAAGCTTCACGCACGTTGAGTGATGCAGAAACCCAAAATTCTACTATAGATAAGGAAGCTTTACGAATCGTGTTTGCAGTTACAAAATTCCCCTATTCCCCATATGGAAGACATTTTATACTATTAACAGGTCACAAGCCTCTAGAACGAATATGTAGTAAAGACCGCGAAACACCAAAGATTGCTAGTAATAGACTTCTCAGATGGGCCATGAAATTGCATACCTATGATTTTGACATAGCGTACCAGCCTGGAAAAGAAAATGCATCAGTAAACGCATTATCACGTCTTCCACTTCCTGATACAAAAACATCACCTTTGGAAGAAGCTGCATTACCTAAAAGAAGTCAACTTTTGCATCTTAGACTACACCACCTTCCTATCACGAAGAAAGTTTTGCAGTGAAAAACATGAAGTGATGCTATTCTCATCAGAGTTATAACATGCATACAATCGTATTGGCCTGATAAAAGACAATTACCTAACGAAATTTTTCCATACTTCGAGAAACGTGAGGAACTTTCGTTTGAGGAAAATATTCTTCTTTGGAAAGGAAGAATATGTATTCCAGAAGCACTTAGACATGAGGTATTGATAATGCTTCATGATGGACATCCTGGTATAACTGCCATGCAGTCCAGTGCACGTTTACATGTCTACTGTAACTAGATGAAGGAACCACATCAGGAACAGTAATGGATCAAACTGGACCTTATTAATATATCGTTGAGGTTAATGGAACACCAAAGAGGAAGCACGGAGATCAGTTAAGACCTCGTTTGAACCAACCTAACCAAGTGGAACAAAAACAGGAACATGCCAAGGATTCTGAGAAACCTTTTATGACATGTATTGCAAGATGAAGAATCAACCAAAGAACGCATGACACAACCTGTCAACATAGAGATACAAGCCAATGACGACATCATTAAAGAAGAACAGGTGATCTTTCCGGAGTCTAGAAGAAACTCGTCACGGAACCGAAAACTGCCTGCTCGTTATCGTGACTGAGTAAAATATTTATTCCTCGTTTTGTTTTTGGTAGGGAGAAATGTAGTATCATGTTCCATGGGTTGTGAATTCAGTTGTTATTCAAGCTCATATAGTGACTCTACTTGTTTAAAATTTTAGTTTTTCATTTGACAGTTCTAATGTTCTGTGACGTTGATTATGTTACTATTTCAAATTCGTAATACACCACCAAAAACCAATTTACGATCTAAAGAATGAAGGTGAAAAACATTTGAATTACTTTAGGAATATGGACTGCATCAGTCGTACCAACCATGCCATTAACCTTAAAAAGGTAAAATACAGAGATATGTAACCAAAAGGCAGTTCCGTACATTTTTTTAACATTTTTATTGGAAAAATGTTGATTATTGAAGTGAAAAGTGTCAAAAAAGGAGGAATAAGGTGTAATGGTGACCTAGTGAATGAATGCTTGTGTTTTTAAATAGTTTATTTTGTTAAGAAGAAGGCTGAAAAGTTGCCCTTTTCAGAACTTTGAAGGGCCGTAATTTTGTAAATAAGGGAGAGCGCCGCTTTTTTCTTTCGGATTCGTAATCTACACAATATAGACCTAAATAAGAGGGTTTTCAGTAGATTCCAACGTAAATCCTACGATAGTATATAATTGATTATCTCTGTTGTGATGAATCAATTTTCGATTCAGACATACTTTGAAACATCCTTTCAAATTCCCAAAATCGCGATGCTCTTCCACTGTCTCGTCCAAAACAAAAAAAAGAAGGAAGAGGCGTTTTCTTTTTAAAGCCCCGAAATGTCGAATGACATAAGACATAAACTGACATGAAAGACAGATGAAGTCGGAATAAATCTATTTACGAGAAAATTTAACTAGATAATACATAATATCAAAATGAACAGTTCAAAAATAACTTCCAGCGATTCAAATCCAATATGAATCGCTACTTTCGCACAGACACCGCTCTTAGAGCGCCTTAAAGATGTTTCTGTAGTGCTTGTGTTTTTTCCTTGAAAAAACACAGTGCTGCCTCTTTCTTGTGTGAAAGAAAGAATCAGAAGAATCAATAATCAAATTAGGGAGCTGCCAAATATGAGAAGCGCAAATTTAGAAAAGCCGACTCTGAACTTCTAACCTACCACGCAAAAAAATCCATTGAACGTAACTAACACTTATGTTCACTGACAGCAATCTGGTTTTAGTCGATCCAAAGAGGCGAGATTTCCCAAGAGCTAGCAAACTTTTCCGGCAAGTTGGGAAGCTAAATATGTGAAATCTCAGACTCCATACGAAACGAACTTTGTCAAATATTTACCAGCTGCGGAATTATACGAGACAAGATTCTCTCCCGAATATTACTTTCCATCAGGGGTTCGTGCAACAATGGGGGGAGAGTAAAGTGGCTTATGATTAGGTTGAGATTCTACAGGGTCTAGGTAACAGGATCTTTGAATTAAGTTTTCCAGTTTGACTAAGTGCAGGATGAAGGTGTAGAAGTGAAGGAAAGATCAACAATAAGCGTTCAAGGTCAGCATGTGTATGGGAGATGATTTTCCTTGAATGTAGGAGAAAGTACATTAAATCTGCTGATTTTTTGCTAGTCGTTTTCCAGTGTTTGAAAAAGATTCGTAACATGTGGCAATGTCTAAAACCCACATGAATCCACAACCACCCAAAATGTAATCTCTCGATGAATTGCATAAAACCAAAGCATGTAATTCCATTTTTGGGAAAGAAAGTGTTTGGCTTTGTACTACTCCATCTTGATACAAAAAAATGTGGCAATCTTCCAAAGAAAGGAAGGAAGTAATCAATTTAAAAATGAGTAACTCTATACATGGATTTGTAGATCTTCACATGATCATATATTACATAAACATAGAAACCTCATATTAACCAAGTTTGCTGTATAAGTTGATATCTTTTTTTTCAGTTACTGAGTCGAATACAAAACGAAATAGAAAAAGTAAGAAAAAAATAAAAAAAGATGAAAAGGATAGAAATTTTAACATATATGTATACAAATAATGTAACGAGTAATGGACGAGCTATTTTGTCTCTTTGACCACAATGGGTATAAAGCACTGGGGGCTATGCAGACGACTTAGTCATCTTAGTCCAGGGTAAATACAATAATGTAGTGAAGTGATGCATGTAGCAGGGCCTGAATATTATAACAAGATGGACCGAAGAAGAAGGGCTTAACATAAGCCCATCCAAATCGACCATAGTAGCATTCACCAAGAGGACTAAAACGGAGGGTCTCGGACCTCTGAAACTTCGAGGTGAAGAAATACAAGTGTCGGGGGAGGTTAAATATCTGGGAGTGATTCTAGATTCCGAACTGACCTGGAACCAACACTTGGACAGGATAAAGAGGAAAGCGGAGGTAGCACTGATGATCGCCAGACGCACCAATGGAAAAACTTGGGGGCTAAAACCAGACATGGTATATTGGCTATACACGATGGTGGTTAAACCCATGATAACATACGCATCTCTGGTCTGGTGGTCAAAGATGAAGCAGGCGACCGCCATCAACAAACGAGGCAAGGTGCAAAGACTTTCATGTTTGGAAATGACGGGAGCAATGAGAACTACCCCAACAGCTGCATTGGGAACACTCCTGAATCTACCTCCTTTACACTTTGTGATGATGGGAGAGGCCAGGATGGGCCAATTCAGACTGGAAAACTCACCGAACTACAAAAGATCGGACCGAACAGAAATTTCGGAACAAGTGGAGAAGCACATATTGAATATGTGCACAGACCACATGACACCGAAGTACACCTTTAACACAAACTTCACCGCCAAAATCATAAGCCGTGAAAAGTGGAAGACCATTAGTCATCCCGAAAACATGTTTGGAAAAAACACCTGGTATACAGATGGATCGAAGACCAAACATGGAACGGGAGCTGGAATATACCGAGAGGATAGAAATTTAAACTACAGCTATCCGCTAGGACTATACACATCCGTCTTTCAGGCGGAAGTGTATGCTATCTTGCAGTGGACAAGGCTTATTTAATTGAGACTTTAAAGAAATGAGCGGATCAATATTTTTACAGACAGCAAGAGCGCACTAAGGGCTGTGACAAACCCGAAGGTGACATCAAAACTGGTCTGGGAATGCCATGAAGAACTGAATGAACTTGCAAACAGGAACAAATTAGCTTTGTAGTGGGTGCCAGGGCATTCAGGAATCACAGGTAATGATAAAGCTGATGAATCCGCTAGACACGGATCATCAACTTCATATATAGGTCCTGAACCAGCTCTGGGGGTACCAAAATCATTGGTACGAAACCAGAATAGGACATGGACCAATAAGAAGCACACAGAGTACTGGACAAAAGTACCTGGCAACAAACACATTAGAACCTTCATTAGGGAATCGTCCGAGAAAAGAACCGGCTCAGAATAATTACAGGGTTACTAAGCGGTCATTGTCCGCTTAGAGGACACCTGAATAAAATGGGGCTGTACAATGGAGACCTCAGCTGCAGATTATGCAACGAAGCGATAGAAACAGCTCTACACATCTTATGCGAATGTGAGGTACAATATATGGACGTAATAAATTACGTCCAAAAGAATATGACGAACATCCAACACGGAACCTGTACAAACTAATACAGGGAACGAAACTGATGAAATGGGTGTCATGAGAAGATGGGAGAATAACCTCAATAAGCCCAAGAGGCTGCAGTGTTTTTTGGAGACTTGGACTAAATGGACAAGTCAGACAGCTCCCAAGCTACAAAAAAAATAATGGAACCCCCTGAACGTAATGCATATACAGTGCTTTTCAGATAAAAGTATCCACCTCCAATAACTTTTGTAATACTGGTATTTAGAAAAAATACAAAAACACGTCAATTTATGTTGGAAGGGGCAAGCATTATGGCTTATTTAAACTTACTGGAAAAGCCACCCCCTCACCCCTAGCATCATCCCTTTTTTTTAATTACTTCTCATATTTTTTATGTAAAATTTGGATACTCCTCTTTGAGCTGATTTCAAAAATGTATAATACTTGTAGGTTAAAGTGGTTAGTTAATGAGATAAACAATTTTTCTTTTAATAGCACAAATTTTAACTGTTGTACAACCCATTTTATTACAGGCAAATAAGGTGAAAGTAAAAAATAAGTAAAATTTGTCCAATTGAAAGAAAAATTGTTTATCTCATAAACTAACCACTTTAACCTACAAGTATTATACATTTTTGAAATCAGCTCAAAGAGGAGTATCCAAATTTTACATAAAAAATATGAGAAGTAATTTTAAAAAAAAGGGATGATGCTAGGGGTGAGGGGGTGGCTTTTCCAGTAAGTTCAAATAAGCCATAATGCTTGTCCCTTCCAACATAAATTGACGTGTTTTTGGATTTTTCCTAAATACCAGTATTACAAAAGTTATTAAAGGTGGATACTTTTATCTGAAAAGCACTGTATACATGTATACATACACAGGCAGACGCACATCTATATATGTACACATACACAATATAAGGTAATCAACAATTTCGTTGTAGTACATCAAAAAAGATAATTTCTTACTTCAAAATCTGTGTTCCATAAATGGGTTTTGAAACGTTTTTTTGAGGAGACGGTAAGAATTTATGGAGTGAATGTATATTTTGTACATCTCTGGTTGGAAATTGAAAATTTTCAGTGATATGTGTATGAAACATCTCAGGCCCAGTATTTTTTTTATTTTGGTTATTTTGACATATTCGTTAAATTTTGTTCTTGTGTCATAGTTATGATAAATTTTTGGTAGTCTTGGTCTGATTTTGTAGAGATATGCGATGGTACTATACACATACGATTTTCTAAAACTCATCAGTTTCAAAGTTGCAAACCTGAAATGTTGGGTCAATAAAAATTTTTGTAACTATTTGTTTGAAATGGTTTGTCACGAAACAACTAGTACCTAATTCATAAAGCCTGGCAAATATTAATAATCATCGTTGAGTTTTTGATTAATTCGGTGGATGTGAGAGTTCTGTTTTTGAAAAAAGTCAAGGAATGGTTAAATATTCAGAAATTCAACCAAAATAATTCATCAATCCTACTCACGAATCTAATGATCGAGTCGACCTTCGCTCAGATTTTCCGGATGAACAAGCCACTGGCGACGTGAAACTTCAGCCAACTTGATGAATAATATTACGAAAAACCCGTGTTCGAAAGTAGTGAGACGACGCGATGCTTCCGCTCGGCTCCACGGTTTTCATCAAACTCACGCCGAAGCTTTTCCACGGCATGCTTTTCACTCTCTTCAGATGACAGGGTTGCCGCGTGCAGGAAAATTCAGGTGATTATCTAGTGTTAGTGAAGAGAGCAAAGTTGATCTGTATTATATTTTAATGCTTTTATGAATTGTCAAGAAACATTGAATGTTTATAATATGGGTAAACAAATTTAACAAAGTAATGGAATGTTGAACAAGAAAGCACATGTAATTATTATGAACAGTTAATAGGTTAAGTTAGTGAATAGTCATTGAAAAATAAAATAACTGGATGGTAAATGTTCGTTTTGAGGACACCCGGTGATTTTGAAAAAATGTTTGAGTGTACTTACGTATTTTGATGCGTAGATCACGAATCTGAAAGAAGAAAGCGGCGCTTTCCCTTATTTACAAAGTTACGGCCCTTCAAAGTTCAGAAAAGGGCAACTTTTCAGCCTTCTTTTTCACAAGATAAACTATTTAAAAACACACGCATTTATTCACTAGGTCATCTTTACACCTTATTGCTCCTTAATTGACACTTTTCAATTCAACCAGTCAACATTTTTCTTATAAAAAACTTACTTAAAAAACGAATGCTTCTTCTGTTGACATTCTTCTATTTCTAGGTTAGTTACTAGTGACATTTCAGAAAAAGCGGTTGGTATTTGCCGCCTACTATTTGAAATTCGTAGATTTGGATTTTTAGTTTGGCGCGAGTGATTAGAAAAACACAAAGAATGAAGGCAAAAAACATTTAAATTACTTTAGGAATATTGACAGCATCAGTCGTACCAACTATGCCATTAGCCTTAAAACGTAAAATACAGAGATATATATAACCAAGAAGCAGCTCCATATATTCTTTAACATTTTCATTAAAAAAATGTTGATTGTTGAAGTGGAAAGTGTCAAGGAAGAAGGAATAAGGTTTAAAGGTGACCTGGTGAATAAATGCTTCTGTTTTTAAATAGTTTATCTTGTGAAAAAGAAATTTGAAAAGTTGTCCTTTTTCTGAACTTTGAAGGGCCGTAACTTTGTTAATGAGAAATCAAATTTTATCAAAAAAATCAGTATTTTCTTTGAACTTTTCAGTCCAACTGTTAGTTTTATGTATCCTTTGAAATGTTGCACGTAGAAAATCTCTATGGCAATATTTCTGTTAGGTAGTTATTGAGTAAAAATGCTGTGATGACGTTGAAGAAGGCAAAATGCAAACAATTTGGTGGCTTGTGAGTAGGAAAAGTGAGTGTTGTTAATTACTTTCAGTTCTGTGCTATAATTTACTCCATTTCACTAAAACTCGCTCTCGATTCCCTGTGCGACAAGAATGGTATTTGAGGTAGTTTTGAGTTTCAGAGTTTCGAACCACCATTCCGCCAGCCCAAGGACTATAGTCTCATCTGATTTTAGATACAGCTTGTCAAATATAGGAAGATATTTGAGAATTCTCCCTCTCTCTCTCTCTCGCTCTCATCATAGTCTTCTAATGAACGCACATCAGGTGAGCGGGACTATAACCGAATTCAGAAACCTCTTTCTACATTTGACAAGCCCTACAGTTCTCAGTATAAATTGAGAGCGGCGTATTTTTGGGAAAAAAACTGTTGGACTTTCTACTACTACTACCATTTTTATACAGAAATTATGGAGAACTAGTATGAATATTGAAGAGGAGTAAGCCTTAAAGCTTGTTTCCCAGTTCTGATTGTCATGTGTATTGTAAATCGTCATAGAATCACGGTCAAATCAAGATAAAATTAGCCAGAATATTTTCTTCGTATGAATAAAACAAACACATCATAAGATTTTATTCCAATTCAAAGTAATCTGCAAATACTCCGTGAATCTCTTCAATCATATCCGTCGTAGTCATACTCCTCCCAAACTTAGCAAAAGCTCTCGCGTTACACTCCCTTGTAAGCTTGGCAGCTGCGTAGCAAGCAACATTCGCATCTTCGCCTTTCATAACGGCCCAAGCGAAAAAAGTTGACAAAGCCCCTCCTAGAAGATCCCCTTGGCCCCCACATCTCCTCCCAGATCCTCCTCCTTTCACAATTTCAACCGTGCCGTTGCTGATTATTTCATCCTCGGCATCTTTGCAGAGAAGGGTTATGTTACCTCCAAGATTTTTGAGAAAATTTGAAGAGCGTTCCAGCTTCGTACCATCGCCATCATTTCGTTGAACCAGTCTGTTGAATTCCATTACGTTCGGGGTCAGAATGATTGGTGCAGGGTAATTTTTTATAATTTCTGGTTTTTGTGAAATCAAGAAAAGGCCATCGGCGTCAATTACCTGAAAAATAGAGTTTGAGTCACAAAATGTTACAACAAAGTCAGGGATTGGTACACTTTGACTATATAACACCGTAAAACTAACCCCGATAAATTTGAGATTCCAGGACGCCCCACGTGGGCTCATGAAGAAAGCTTCCATTTCCCCCAGCCAGTCTCCTAGGAGTCCTGGAGGATATCCTGAGCGGTTCCAGGTCATTCTCGACGAGATCCCGCTGGTGATTAGGTAAAAGACAGCCCAATGCCAGAAAAGACCAGAAAGAAATAGTTCTACCTATCACCCAAGACCCACCCGAACCTGAACCTACCAACTAACTGTACCCGGACCAGTCGCAACAACTCTACCCACTTAAAAGAACAGCAATACCCAAGGAATAAGAGAAGACCCACTTACTCGACCAATAAGAGCAGTATACCCACCAAAACCAATCATAAACACCCAGCAGCAAGAAAACACAAACAACTAACCTAGATTGAGCTACACATAAAACAACTTTTTCTTTGTAAATGAACACACCCCCTGAAGAGGCACTAGCCTTTTAACAGGGCCCTACAGAAAACGCATGTAGTACTAACCTACCAACATTAATAGAAAATAAACGTATTCGATCGATACACTTTGATTAAAGTTACAATGTGATTTCTGCTTCTTCACATCAAGAGCTCAAAGAAGTAGAGTCGACACAAAATTAACTCTAAAGACAAACCCAATAGTGCATCAAGATACTAGCATAAAATATGAAATGATTTTTCACGCCACGATAGTTGAATATTCAAAGACCCTTCCTATAGTTTGGTTAGGTTAGGTTAGGTTAGGTTAGGTTGGGTTGGGTTGGGTTAGGTTAGGTTAGGTTAGGTTCAACGATAGTTGAATATTCAAAGACCCTTCCTATAGTTTGGTTATATTCGGCTATATTCGAATTTGGGAGATTCAGATACAGAGTACTGTGTGTACTTAGTTGTATATTTGATCCACTTCGACGGAATGCATATTTCGGGGTTTTCATCAATCGACTGTGATTTGGCCAAGGTCGCTTCCGCAGACTTCTATTGGGATATATAAGCACTGCCAAAAGGCAGATAAGAAAAGTCTAGTTGAAAGTGCGGTACGAAGTACCGCATAGGCGTAGGCGATTTCTAATAAGGCGATAGGCGATAGTCTGAAGTTCAGTTGAAGTGTGTGTGTTGTATATGCAGTGTACTAGTGAAGTAAAGCAGAATTCAATTAAAGTGTGATCAATTATTTTCGAACCCACGGGAAAGACGTAACAATACTTTGAATCTGAAGGAAATTTCGGCTTGAGGCGAGATCCATGATCCACGTAGACATCTGTGATTTGCACTTTCGTCACCATGGCGCTGGTATCTTCTAAGTTTGACTTTTCAATTAACAGGAATATTCTCATACTACGCGAGTTACAAAATACCAAAATATTTTAGCGAAATTTAGGTTTGAATCTCATGATATTTCATCAAAACACAACTCACCATTGGTTTTCTTTTGTTCCTACAGCTTTCAATGACTTGCTCGATAACCCTGAAAGTTTTTTCCTGGCGACCTAAACCAGGGCCAATAAGAACCACATGCAATCTTTCCAACCACGGTTCAATTTTTTCAATTGCCTCCGAATCATCGAGAACGGGTAGTACTATTAACTCAGGACTATAAGACTTGATTACTGTTGCCGCTTCCTTGTTACAGAAAACATATGATAGGTCTGCTCCAACTTTCAGGGCACTGATTGAGGAGAAATATGGAGCGCCTGAAAATGAGTAGTGTTGATTGAAATGAGCAGGACGTCACAGATTTTATTTGAATTAGGTTAGGTTGAGTCAGGTTAGGACAAAAGTAAGTGGGTCTACTCGATACTCCGCCGCAACCTGCTAGGGTTTATTGTTTATTGAAAAAAGACCCAAAAAATATCAAGGAACAATACCATCCCATTTTCACCACTTCAAACGACTTGGAAAACTAGTACATTTCACTTAATTTCACTAAGTCAATCGAGGCATATTTCTAGAAAGAAGGTAGATATACAAAGGTGTTCAAAAAAACAATGATTTATTTTTTTAACAGCCTAGGTACTTTGTTGATAGCTTCACAGTCGTAACATTATTAGCACAAAAGGATATTCCCGTTGTCGTCCAATGTCAACTATGTTTATTATATTCACTTATATTATTAATCAGTAATAAAAATAACTTCCATCGCTCGAAACAATAAAACAATTGCCTAACAAAACCCAAACAATTATTTTCTCACACCATTGTCATAATTATTGAATATATGTGCTTACCAGTATATTCAATACTCCCGCCAAATATTCCGATTCGACCAGCTTGTCCCTTATGCCGGTCCCTAGTTAGAGGCGGAGCCAAAGTGGCAACCCTCCGAATAATTCTGTCCTGCAATGAATCACACATTTTCTTGCCCAAACCTCTGACAGGTGTTACTTGACTTTTACTCACATTTGCTAACAATTTTGTCGTTAGTGTTAACATCAAGACGACAATGACAATTGTTTTTAAAAACATGTTGAGTTCATTCAGTTCAGTGTTTCCAACTGTAAACAACATGTAAATTCCCAAGACGACCTTGAAACTAATAAATGAGTGATTCTATTATCGATCCGTTGTATAAATAGCTAATCTAACTTCCTGCAGCATAATCTTTAATATAAATAAAATATTCAGTAACTGATTTAGGGGCTAAATCATAAAATAACTCCACTCATTGTATTGAAATGACTAGAGACAATGGTATATAGTGTTACCGATCGGAACGTAATTGTGCGATTTGCATGATTTATATTTGTTTAATAATGAACTTTGCTCGTCTCTATCACCATAAGAATATATTGTTCTTTCCAAAATTCCATTAGCTATCGGCTAATAGCTAATCTATCGGTATTTGTAGTTGTAGCGCATATCACAAACAGCCTGTGGGGTTGTATGTAATCTGTAGTTGGATGGTTCAATTGGGTTAGGTTAGTGTTTGCTTGTATGGGCGTCGAACTTGGCTAAATACCCATTCTACAAGTGGTGAGGAGCAGGGTTCGTACCCCTTTAAACAAGGGGGATCACACAATGTCTTGGCTACTGCTTCACAGCGCCATATGACAAAACGGTTTCTAAAATTTTCACAATGAAAATATGCAACACGTAAGACATCGTGACGTTATATCTGACGTCAAGTGTATGAGTGACGTAAATGCCAAGACGTCAATCTCTCCATCATTTTTCAGTTGTTGGAGTCAACGTTCTCTTTTCTATGGCCAGTCCATAGTATGACGTCACTGGTGGAGTACGAAATATGTCACTGAACGAAATTTGAAAATAAAATTTTCATGCTAAAGCAAGTAGCAAGAATGGGATGTTTCGGGGACTGTAATCTAAGATGAATTTCAAATAGAGACATAAATGTGGTGGAAAAATTGAGATATATTTCATTCATCAATCATTGGAAGGCAATTATTGTACAATAGTTGGTTCGATAGAACCGAATATGGAAGGTTTAACAAAGTTTTGAGGTATGACATGCCACTTGAAAATATATTTTCGATAACAAGCTAGGACTATTCAGATTACTAGTGATCAATTCATGAATAAAAAAATCTGCCTTAGAGCTTGAAACTGATGGAAACGTGTCTGCTGGATCAGTCCAATATTTAGATTGTTCAGAGAGGGAATGTTGGAGAATGGAGTTTAGATAAGTGAGAAGTTTTCAAGGTGTGATCACTACCTAGTGGCAGTAGGAAATATTCCAATGATCTAAACTGCCAGTTTAATTAGCTCGTTGGAGTAGGGCATACTGAATTTATCCCATCAATCCTATTTAAAGGTGAAGATTAACCTGTACCTGATATAAGTTGTACACCATTATCCGTGTTGAGCATGTACTTGTAAGTTGTCCCAAGTACAATAATGTCACAGTACAGTTGATTCTATCAAATATCGCATCAGTAATCCTTTCCAAGGACCGTCTCTGCTACCGAAAAGTACTGAAATTTTCCATTGATTGAATTTTTAGAACAGAAACGTCAGATATATATGGCCGAATCCGTAATGATGATTGGTTTTCAAACAACACTTCTATCCTAAATGTGTATTTACATCTACTCACAAATTTCTAGAAAATATATAGAGTTTGTGTATGTTTCCGAAATCTAGATATGAAGAATATCGGTCTCTACTTTTTTGAGACATCTCTGATGGGGAATAGTATGATCTGACTCTGATGACGTTTTCCCAAGAGAAACGTCGGGAAATACATGTGATGTGAAAACTAAACGTCTGTACTGGATAAAAGTGATAAAATCTAATGAATGTGAAGTCAAATTGATAACTGTTCCATATTAGATCATCACATAAAATATACATGAAATAGCACAAAATGTGTCTGTCTTATTTTGATTCTATTTGAAATGGAGGTGACAGAAGCAACAGACCAAATGCTGCAATTTTGGTTTTTCAAGATTATAGCAAAAACATCCATTGATATTTGCAATCTGAAAAAAAATTATTGTGTTCCAAATATATCGTTTCTTTGAAAAAAAAACAATATTTCACCACGGAAAGGAAAAGACAAAGTGACACTATTATATAGATATTTATACATTTAATTAATCTATCTTTATATACGATCATAATTCATTGTCGACAATATAAACATTCAAATACATTCATTCAGCAATTATAAGTTAAGAACGGAAATCATATCAAAGTACATGTTTCATTTCTTCTTTTTCTTCTTTTCTATACCACCAATAACACTGTCATTTTTTCTTTTCTGCGACGACTTTGAAGTCACAGGTGTAGAAATGCCGCCAATGGCCGAAGCCTTCGAGGCTTTCTTCTTCTTCTCGTTCTTCTCCCTCTCCTCCAACTCTGCATTCTCTCTTTCTATCAGCGTAATCAAGGTATTGCATCTCCTCTGTAACTCCATGGCAGTTCTCGACTTCAAGAACCAGTCGAAGCGGAACTGAGGAGAAGCCCTCACTGCTGCTCTTAATTCTTCATATACGTTCTCCCTATCAAATCCGAGCTTGTGAAGCATGCACACCAGGAACCGATCTTCTTCTTCCATGTAATTCTTCCCTTTGTTTGTTCCGTAGGATATTCTCAGCTGATGGAATGGAGCTCTGTACCTGTGAAAACGAATGAAATGAATGACTAATTGTTGGAATGAACCAGGAGTACAAACACGTTTAATGAGGTTTTCCCAAAATGATAAGGTATATTCCTAGTTCTCATCGGAATCTGAGACTGAGAAAAAATTTCAAATTTCGAAACTCTTTACACAAGACATTAGAGAAATGTTTCTGAAGGAAATGAAAAGTAGTGATTGTACTCGAGTCAGAAACATTTTTACAAGTGGTACAAGCTTTTCATGGTTATGACATCAAAACCAAAGTCCAATTGTCCCAATGGAAGAGCCGAAGAAAACCAAGATCCAAATAAAGCACTTCAGTTCGATCAAGATTCGTTTTTGCTCAGTTTTTTTATTGCCGTGGCATTGTGCCCATATGGACATACCGTCAATAAGGAGTATTATCTTGAAGGTATATGCCGCTTGCGAGAAGCAATAGGAAGAAAACTCTAGGCAAAAAAAAACACTGGAATGATGCCTCAGCCACCACAATCACCAGATTTGTCCCCCTTCGACTTTTTCTTGTTTCCAAGATTGAAGAGATCCGTGAAAGGACGGCGTTTTGCGACGATTGAGGAGATAAAAACCAAACTTGCTATATCAAGTATCTGCCCAACGAAAATAATTTAAAATAAATTCAATTTCGGATACGAATAACGAAAAAATTAATAAATACCTTGCCATTTTAGCATCGAGGGCCCTCTTGATGCTAGCCCTTCGTTGAATTTTTGTCTCTCCCCTCTCTATCTGAGCCATAATCCTGTCGATATCTTGCAACTCGTGACAGCGTTCCCAGAACACGGCCGAATATTCCATAACTTCTTCCGGTGTCTTCCCTTCTACATCTTTGGCGATATTTTCTATATCGTCTCTGCCGTACTTCTCGTTAGCTTTGATGAACTGATTGAAATCTCTCTTGCTCCAAGTGGTGAAACCGTGCGTTAACAATGTTTCTTTCTCCGCCTGTTCATCTTCAGTTAACGGTTCAGATTCGTCAATTTTCCGCTGCTCCTCCTTCTGCTGTTTGGAAGCATCAGGACCGAGTTCGAGATTCTTCGGAACTTTATACGACAGGGTTTTTCTATAATAGTAGATCTCCTGATCCAAAAGTTCGAATAACCTCGGAGGGAAAAACTGGAAGTCTTGAACGATGGGTTGTTTCGGAGGTCTGGGAGCTTTAGGAGCCTTCGGCTCGGAAACTCTCAGCGCTTCTCTGAAATAGGCATCGACGGCGTAGTTGGCTTTTCTTTCACGTTTAGGAGGCTCGATCCAGTTACTGAGACCGATTGATTTTTGTTTTTCGCGGTAATCTTCCCCCTCGAACTGATACACAGATTCAGTGGGGGTGTCTACTGTGAAATTACGGAGAGAAGATTCTCCTAAAGTTTCCAATTTCTGAGCTAACTGAGCGGTCTGCAACAAAATTTCAATAATATTAGCAATGAAGCACATTTTGCTCCCGGCTAGCACTACATTTCTATTTCTTCAATAAGTATGTCTCCTTTTGAATTTCAGATAGTTAAGTATGAATTGACGCTCAGAGAAAAAACAGATTTTAACAGGGTCAACAATTAGAGTCAACCCTGTATACTGACAATGCAAAATTCATTATAACGAGATATTATGGTAACTCTTAAAACATTTTTTCATCCTCTTTTCAATCGAAATCATCATCACCACATAAAACTATTAACAGCATCATGTTAGACAGCTAAGTTCGAGACATCATACTCCACACGATTGACAGCTTATTTGGAGAACTTCCAACTAATGCCATCCATTCAGAACGGATTTCGAAAAAATAAATCAACTAATACTGCCATTTATGACTGTTTGGAATTCATATGTAGAGCATTAAATGAAAGAAAAAATGTCATTGGCCTATTCTATGATCTAAGCCGGGCATTTGATACTATAGACCATAACTTATTAAGACTCAAACTAGAAGCTATAGGAGTTCGTGGTGTTGCTCTAAACTGGGCAACTTCTTACTTGGACAATCGAAAACAATCTGTTGTACTAGATTCCATAAAATCAAAGACAAGAGAAAGTTATCATAAAGGTGTACCTCAAGGCTCCATTCTGGGACCTCTTTTCTTTATAATATTCACGAGCGACATAAAGAACACCTGTGTTGCTGCAGATCAAATCATTCTCTATGCAGATGATATGAATATTTTAATGTCCAGAACAAATAATGAACAACTAGTAAAGAATGGTAATAAGGCATCAAAGGAAATCAGTGACTGTTGTAGTAAAAATGGACTAGCATTAAACACCGCTAAGACCTATCATATTCGATTCTTACCAAAAAATATGAATCCTGATAATGATCTCTACTTAACAGTCAATGGAAAATCGATAGAAAGCAAAGAGAGTATGAAGTTCTTAGGTGTTGTGCTTGATAGGAAACTTTCATGGGAAAACCATATCACCACTTTATGTTCAAAACTCAGCACAATCACATACATTATTAGGAATCTGAGGGATACAGTATCAGCTGATGTACTGAGAATTCTTTACTTCGGACTGGCACAGTCAGCTATGCGATATGGAATAATATTTTGGGGATCCTCAACTCACATACTAGGGGCTTTTCGTTCTCAGAAAGAAATCATCAGAGCTATGAATAAAACTCACCCTTCAGAATCTTGTAAGCCACTATTCCGAAATTCTAAAATACTAACGTTACCTTGTCTCTGGATCTTGAACTTGATATTGTTTATAAAGCACAATGAAAATACGTTTCTGAAAAATGATCAAATACATGCACATGATACAAGGAATAAGGAAAATATTCATCTGCCCTTTTCCAGGCTTCTCATTGGTCAAAATTCCCCAAAATATGTTGGTGTAAAATGTTTCAATAAGATGAAAAATCTAATAGATATGAGCGGTAGCAAGTCAGCAGTTAGGACTAGAATATCAACATATCTCAGCGATAAAGCTTTCTATAGCGTAGAAGAGTTTCTGGGCTCCTGATTATATTTTAAAATTATAANAAAACTTCTCTTCTGGATCTGGCTTTATATAGTATTACGGAATTTTTTGAGACAGTGTTCACTGACGTCTAACATCAGCTCAGTATGTTATATGTGTTATTTAATTTATTTATCTTAATACTAGTTACAACCAATTGAAAATTAAATTAATTGATAGTCCTATATTTTATTGACAATATCATGTGAACCATGATATATCAAGTTTTATGAATGTCTACACTTTGTCGATAAGATTATTGTATCTTCAGACAATAAAGTATATTTATTATTATTATTATTATTATTGTATGGTAACTTACCTTCATTTCACCTTTCTCAAGAATGGAGTCGATATCCTCATCAGTAATTTCTGAGTCTCTGGAAGCAAATACATGGTTGGCACCGTGTCTGATCATGTTGAGCATCTCATCTTTGTTCAAACTTTGTCCTTTCGAATCAGCCAATCGACCCTGCTGAATAACCAACTTATCCAGCCTCAATTTTACCTCCGCTCTTTCCACGATCTTTTCTTCCACCGTATTTTCAGTAATGAATCTATGATTGAAAGAAAAAAAAAAGATTCAATGATAGTGAGGAATATACTGAGTATACTTTCGAATGTTCATTATATTTACGTAGTTTAATAATGTAAGATATTTATAAATTTGTGATTTTTTGTGTATTAGGGTTGCCTACTAAATAAATAAATAGTTATACAAGAATAACCTAAACATAGGAGTCTGAACATAAACATAAAACATTTTTCGAAAATGTCTATGCAACTAATGGAATATTATCTGAAAAACAGATAATAATGAAGACTTCCTGGAATCTGGAAGTTTTTCATTTTTTTTTTATTATTATACTGTGCAGACAGACGTAAATAGTCCCTCTCGACTTTTGAAAGGAACAAGAAGTCCAATTTCTGCTCAAGAGACATACATTCAGAACAAATCTTACTGCACTTGCTATGGCAATGAAGAATATTATTTCACGAAGATTTACAACAACAGTCAGGCGGTTGTTTGAGGAAGCAACAACAACAGAGCGAAGAGTATTACAACCAAGAAATATTACTTTAAAAAAAGTACAACTTTTTCCACAACCATGCGAAAAACTTATAACTTTTATCGGCCCTCCCACCAAAGATCATCAAAACTTACCTAAACACTCTCACTTGTTTTTTTTGCCCGATTCTATGAGCTCGGTCCATAGCCTGCAGGTCCATTTGAGGATTCCAATCAGAATCATAGAGAATAACTACATCCGCAGTCGCCAAATTGATACCCAATCCTCCAGCTCTGGTCGACAACATGAACACAAATTTTGTGCTACCCTCTTCGTTATACTCGTTGATCTGCCTCTGTCTATCTTCGTGGGGGGTCTGCCCGTCCAAACGGCAATACTGGTACTGCCTCCAGTGACAATAATCTTCGAGTATGTCCAACATCCGCGTCATCTGCGAGAAAATGAGTACGCGAGAATCTTGTTCGCGAAGCTTAGGAAGTAGTTTATCCAAGAGAACCATTTTGCCGCAATTGTATACCAGATGTTCGTCGGTGGTATAAGGAGGACCGGGTTCTGCACCGTCAAAAAGGTAGGGGTGATTGGTACATTTTCGGAGCTGCATGAGGATGTTCTGGAGTCTCATTTTCTCCACCTTGAAAAGTAATCATATATAAATAATAATAATATTCGTTGATAATATGGGCAGTAAGTAATTATTCTCTTTCATAGAAATTTACTCAAAGAAACAATGTTGGACTTATGTACATTACAGTAAATTATTTAAAAAAAACAAAAGTTGAAACTGGTGTACTACAGATCTATTATTCTTTAGTAACTTAATGGGTACCTCATATCAGAAAGTAGGACAAAGTAAGACAAAATATCAGCAAGTAGGACGAAGTGAGAGAGTGTATCAGAAAATAGGACAAAATATCAAAAAGTAGGACAAAGTAAGACAAAATATTAGAAAGGACAGAGTAAGACAAATTATCAGAAAATGAAACAGAGTAAGACAAAATATCAGAAAGTAGGACAAAGTAAGACAATATATCACAAGGTAGGACAAAGTAAGACAAAATATTAGAAAAGACAGTAAGACAAAATATCAGAAAATGAGACAGAGTAAGACAAAATATCAGAAAATAGGACGACATAAGACAAAATATCAGAAATTAGGACAAAGTAAGGCAATATATCAGAAGGTAGGACAAAGTAAGACAAAATATTAGAAAGGACAGAGTAAGACAAAATATCAGAAAATGAAACAGAGTAAGACAAAATATCATAAAATAGGACAACATTAGACAATTTATCAGAAATTAGGACAAACTATCAGAAAGTAGGACAAAGTATCAAAAAGTAGAAGGTATCAGAAAGAAGGACAAAGTTAGACAAAGTATCAGAAATTAGGAAATATCAGAAAATAGGACAACATAAGACAAAATATAAAAAAGTAGGACAAAGTGAGACAATGTATCAGAAAGTAGGACGAAATTAAACAAAATATCAGAAAGTAGGACAAAGTAAGACAAAATATCAGAAAATAGGACAATATACGACAAAATATAAGAAAGTAGGACAAAGTGAGACAAAATTCAGGAAGTGAGACAAAATATCAGAAAGAACAAAGTAAGGCAAAATATCAGAACGTAGGACAAAGTAAAACAAAATAGCAGAAAGTATGACAGAGTAAGACAAAATATCAGAAAGTAGGACAACATAAGGATAAACTGTCAGAAAGTAGGACAAAGTCAGAGAAAGTATCAGAGTAGGACAAAGTATCAGAAAGTAGAATAGAATAAGACAAAACATTAGAAAGTAGGACAAAGTAAGGCAAAGTATCAGAAAGTATGACAAAGTACTATGAAATAGCAGAAGTGTGGCAAAGTATCAGAAATTTCAATATTTTATTACTAATAACTCGGAAAATTAGGACGAGCAGTAAATGTTTCTCAATCACTTGCATACACCTACCAGAAAATACCTATTCTAAAATCCTGAAAAGAATAGTTACGTGTTTCTTACCTTGCCGGCACCATTTACGACATCTATATCCTTCATCAAAACTTTGGTATACCACTCCCTTTGCATTTTACTCAGACCGACATAAACTTTCAATTCTTTTTTTGGTTTCAACCTCTTCTCGACTTCTGACTTCAATCTTCTCAACAAGAACGGTTTCAGGACAGCGTGCAGTCTCTCCACCAGCTCATTATCCCCGAGGCACTGATTTGTATTGAACCACGCATCGAAATCGTCAGACGAATTAAACACGTCAGGAAGTAAGAAGTTCAGCAATGCCCAGAGCTCATGGAGATTATTTTGTAACGGGGTACCAGTGAGCAGAAGACGGTTCGTTGTTTTGAATTCCCTGAGAATTTCCGAAAGTTTTGATTTTTCATTTTTAATACGATGAGCTTCATCGATAACCATGTAGCGCCAATTGAATTTTTTGAAAACGGATTTTTCTTTGATGCACATCTCATAGGATGTCACACAAACGTCCCAATCACCTGGCATCATGACATCTCTAATGAAAACATTCTGAAAAGAGGAAATAACTTGTATTTATAGGTGAACTTGAAAGAAAATATAATTGAAAACAACAAATTTCAAAAATCATACATTCAGATACACGACCTCCAAAATTTCACTATTCTATTAATGGTTGTCTGAGAAGAAAGGGGGAAAAATTAAACAAGATGGAAGTAAATGAAAAAAAGTGAATAATTGTAATAAATCAGAGGTAAATGCTCTATTCTCAGAGAATATCGATTCTGTTGCTGTAAAACTGACTTTAATTCTTTGAAAAATGAATCTAAAAAGTAGTAACAGTTAAAACTCATAATATAAAAGGGTTAAGGTCCATAAATTGAAACATGAAAACATACTTCAACAGAAATTTAGTAGTGTAACAATATTTTATAAAATTTCGAAGCAGTCAAAGGTAATTTTGTTCATCAGGGAGTGTAGTGAGAATCATAGATACATATATTGAAATGACTTTTTGTTCTGTCATGATAAGTATGTCGTTTTCATGACATTGCCAATAGGACATTACTGAAACAGTATTTGTGAAACTGATCTGATTCAGTTCAATTAAATTCAAACTATACCGTATTGCCTGAAGAATGAATTGTTTTTGAAAGAACAATAGCGTTAAATATTTATTTAATCGTAATTTCTTACCCTAGCTTCTTGATCACCAATAAGGCAGACTGCACGTATGGAGGGGCACCATTTCTTGAACTCATTCATCCAATTTGACAAGGTGGACTTCGGCACGATTACAATATGTGGCCCCGGAGTATTTTTGTAATGTTTCATGAAACCCAAAAGTGAGATTGTTTGCAATGTTTTACCCAAACCCATTTCATCAGCAAGAATACCATTGATGCCATTCTCATACAATGATATCATCCAGTTCAAACCACGTACTTGATAATCTCTCATCTCACCACTTTTGATATAGAACGGTGAGGCATCAAAACGTATCGTAGGTTTACATTTTTGGTTTGTTTCAGCCAAAAGTTCTTCGTCTTCTTCTTGTTCAGTTTTACGGTGACGGTGACTGAAATGAAAAATAATTCTTAGTAAGGAAGTTTATGCATCACTGAAGACCTTTACACCTACAAAATAGTAAAACAAACGTCGCGAGACAATATTTTTTGTTCTGGTTTTCAATATTGAAAACACAATAATTTGTTGATTGTGTAGAAGCAGATATGGATCTTGTGAATGTTTTTTGTGTTATTCATTCTATCAGGGACAGAATATTAAGAAACAATCTCAAGCCTTCGATTTCTATAATATACTGGCAATCATGAATAGGTACTTACTCAACAACATCACTTTCTTTTTCTTTCTTAGGTCTTCCTGTTTTTGGTTTGGTAGGCGTTTTGGTCTGATTCATGAAATGAGAAAAAATTTCTGTCTGTTTCAGCAAAAAATCGAATCTTCTTCCTCTATCAGAGGCAACTTTAGAGTCAAAATCTTCCCCTTTGGAAGTAGTGTCAGAGGATGATTCATTTTGAGGTAGTTCCTTAAAAAAATACATTTAAATTAGAATATGAAACGGTAAAATGACTAAATACACCTACAGAATTTTCACCGGCATCAGCTGGTTTGTTAATTTCCGCATCAGCTTCAACAGCGTCTTCTGGTTTAGACATTTCAGTAGATATGAACAGTACACTTCAATTTGGACAATTATTCCTAATTGAATTGAATTTAATCTAGATATCTGAGAACAAAGTAACTACCATTACTATAACTTCCAGTTATAAGTATTAACTTTGTAACGTCTCACGAGGACAATGAATCAAATAGTAACCAATTGTAAAATGTCAATAGTGATGCCGCGCTGCCACTGTCAAGTGTCAAGTGTCATCCATTCTTCGATAATAAAAATTTTCGAAATGGTAACCAGTGGTACCAATCGAAATTATTGGAAATAAATTAAGAATTTCTACTTTTCATGTTCAGTGATCATAAAACAGAAAATTTGTTTTGGTTTAATGCTCAGAGTTTCTCTGGAAGCAAAAGTCAATAACATAGAGAGAGACACAGAAAATTTGTTTCTGAATTCATGTCATTGGCATTTGGTTCGTCTCCATTCGCGACAGAGGACGGTTGTGCCGAAAACAACCGCCCTCGAAGATGACACGTGGATGTCGTGGTTGAAGTTGAGGCCAAGAGGTGTAAGCTAAAAATGAACTGTCATTCAAAATGACATTACATTTGACTAAATAATTAAGTAAAAGATGGGAAGACTGGCGTCCCCCTAGGCCAATGACCAGGCTGGATGTCGACGGATTGACGACATTGTCAGTTCTATAGAATATATGTGTATTTATGTTATTCTTATCCGAAGACCTTCCAAGCGGAAGGCAACCAGTGAAAAATAAAGTGTTTTGTTGAAAGAAAGAGCAAATAAAAAAAACTTATGTTGGCAGCATTGCCTCGGGAAAGACCGCTGCGCCCCCAGACGAAGCTTCTATAAACTAGAACAGGAGGGGTCTGGCCAAATGCGCTCGAATGAGAAGCAAAAAGCGGTTATTTGATAAATTGTTATTTTCAAAAATGTTTTATCGACTTCTAAAATTACTATTTGACATGATAGGCATATTCCTCGGGAGTTATGCAGTAGAAGGTGACTGGTCTACTGCACCTGAGATGAAGCAAAGTCCAAAAAAAAGCGAAGAAGAAATAGACTATTATTTTTCTCACTGTATATGGTTATGACACTGAAATACTGTGGTTATGCTATTATGTTTTTGTACCTTTATTTTAATGTTCGTAATTCAACAAGGATTTTATATTAACAATGCCTGGACATTTAACTTGCTGTGTAAAAAATTGTAAAAACACCTATTTGACTTACACTAGCGAAAAACTGAGCTTCCATAGGTTTCCCAAAGATGCTTTAATAAAACAAAAATGGATTGATTTTTGTGGTTACTCTGGTGATTGGATCCCAAAAACCAGTGATAGAATATGTTCTGTTCACTTTAAAAAGAGTGACTATGAGATAAACTTTAAGGAGCAGCTCCTACATACTGAGTCCAAAAGAAGACTTTTGAAGAATGGTTTGTAAACTTTAGCCAAGTCCTCCTTTCATAAACTCATGGTATTTTGAGGTATTCTGAAAATAATTATTCTCACAAAGGATATATATGTCTATATCAAAGTACGGGTTTGTACTAATGTACCATAGAAAAAAATATTTAATTGTCAATGTCGGGGAACCTCTAGGATCTATACTGGGTCCAATACTGTTCACTATCTTTGTCAATGGCAATGAGATACGTTGAAACTTGCTTAAATGTCTGTTGGAAATAATTCAATAGGCAGCACAGTAATAGTCGGAGAAGTAGTTGTTTTCCTACAGACATTTATCATTCAATGCACTGCATAGGGATGGATCTGTAAGACCAAGGACCAGTAGCAACAGCAACATTTCTGGGGAGTGACATACACACAAATATTCTGATGTGTGTATTGTCTTTATATGATCGATTTTAATTGCAGTTGTTCCATCCAAGAGAAGTCGGCGGGAATCATCCTATGAAGAAGATGAACATGAAACGTATCAGCAAGAAACCCCCTTAACGCCTGAGCAAGGTTTGTACTGCATTTTATGTAGATAATTCTCGAAATATGATTCACCATTAATTCCAGAATATGAAGTTGAAACAATAACTGTTAATTTTGATGACGATTCATCTGTACTGGATGATAATGAAGAAATAATGGAACTGAAACATGAATTAGCCAGAATGAGAGATAAACTGAAAGAACAGGAAAGTCTGAATGATCAGTTGAAGTCTTATATTATAACTATGGGAAATCAATTATCAGAAGAGAGGAACAGAACCACAAAATTAGATAAAATTATTGAAAACCAGAGAGAAGAGCTTTCGAGGAGCATTTCGCCTGGCGAATTTAACCAAAAAATTAAAGAAACTTTGACTGGTACACTATCATCCGCTCAACTAGACTCATTGTTGAAAATCAAAAAGAAAGTCAAGTGGTCCAGAGATGATATCTTGACAGCAATAACACTGAGATATTTCAGCAAAAGGGCATATTTATTTTTGAAAAACAATAATTTTCCGTTGCCAAATCTAAGAACTGTTCAACTCTATTGCAGAAAAATGAATGTATCTTCGGGTATGCTTGTTGATGTATTGAAATTTATGGGTGTTGCTGCAGAAAGTATGTCAAAAAAGGAGAGAGCTGTGGCACTTTCGTATGATGAAATAAAGGTTTCCACTCTATACGAATATGACGAAATAAGAGACGAAGTTGTTGGACCCCATAAAAATGTCCAAGTTGTGATGGTTCGAAGCGTTTTCGGACACTGGAAGCAACCTGTTTACGTTAGCTTTGATAAGAGCATGAGTAGCACTGTACTCATGGAAGTGATACTAGCTTTACATGAAGTAAGTTATGAAGTAGTTGCAATTGTGGGGTATTGTGGACCTTCAAATCAGAGGATCGTTTCCAATTTGGGAGTTGATATAGATCGTGTACATTGCGAACATCCCGTTACTCAAAAGAATATCTATTGTTTTGCTGACAGTCCCCAACTTTTGAAAATTTTGGGAAACTCGTTTCTACGTACAGGTAAGTATTTTTTTTTAATTACACACTTGGTCCTTGATCTACATATTGTAAGTCAGTATTTGAGTAATTATTGACAGATAGATATGTTTATTTACTTCACACTCATTTTTTTAACAGTAGTACAGCTACCGGACTGAGTCATGGCCGGTGGGAGAAATCGTATCGTATCTTCATGAGTTTGACTTTTTAAAATATGTTTATGCAATTTACTCTTAAACTCCATCACAAACTGTATACTTACGGTCCCGAATTTGGATATTTATGGTTCGAATAATCTAACAGGCTGATAACCGTTTTCTACACATCTACTGCACATCTTGAGGAAGGGGCTTCTCACCGGCCATGACTCAGTCCCGCAGTTGTATATAACATTTGCAAAATCAAATGTATTTCAATACATCAATACAATTTCTATATTATGAAATGTGTTTGTAGGTTTCCAACTTGCCAGTGGGAAAATGATCACAAAAGAATTATTAGAAGATATGTTTCATAAATTTAAGGAAATGGAAATCAGTTCGTTACAGAATCTCTCTGAACATCATTTCAACTGTACCGACAGTCCTGATGAACAAAACATTGAATTGGTTCGTCAGCTACTATCGCAATCGACAGCAACAGCTATGAGAGGGTATTACAGTTCAGAAGAAAGTGAGGCACTTGCACATTTCATTCACCTCACGAACGATTGGTTTGAAATTATGAGCTCTCGAAATTCAAAAGAAAAACCGTATGAGAGTAGTGAAAGCCAGAACCAAAAGTTAGAAGAAATGTTTCAGTTTATCAGCACTATGAAATGCTTTGGAAAAACTGATTTGCAGAGGTTTCAGAAGTTGATGCTGATCTCTATCAGGTCGTTGCAAGGATTATTTGCAGAAATGAAGAAGGAATACCAGATAGAATACATTCTCACCAGTAAATTGAACCAGGGGGCTTTAGAAGACTTGTTTGGTATTTTGAGAACAAGAGGTCGTTCTGATGACCATCTCAGTCCCATGAATATTATAAATAGGTTGAGAATGGTTTCACTAGGTAAATAATTCAATAGAGATCTTAGTTGAAAAACACTTTAATGTGAGATTTACACTTGAAAGTTCACAAAACCGCGACATGTGTTTCGCTATTCAATAGCATCTTCAGGCGTCACAATGCTGTTTGTACAAAATCTGTGTCGTGCCTTCATAATAATAATATTTAATTATTTCTTTGGTTGATCAATTATAAAAGAAAAAGTAAAAACATAATTGTAAATAACTACATGTAACCATATTAATTTGAATCATTACTACCTGATGAGTTTCTACATGCTGAATTCATTACCTAAACTATTTACCTACTAGGAACAACTCATTAGACTGGAGAATGATGAATAATGGTTTTCATCTGAGCTATCATTTTATTTAGGTATTTATTCAATGGCAAAGCCAATTCACAATAACATATTTTAACAAAGTGTGGGGAACTACAGAGTATTTTCGAATACTCATGTCTGATGTCTACACTACAATTTATAATTTTACAAAACATTTAGCAAACTGAAATACAAAATATTAATAAATCTTTATGTCTAGTGACTACATTACTAAAAGAAGAAACCATTCTGGTACTTACAAGGAAAAATATGTAGCAAATCTGGTACTTACAAAGAAAATGGTAAGGTAAAGAAAAGCTTTGAAAACGCCAAAGCTTTTTCAATTGATTTCTAAAGACCTGAAGTGATACGTTAAACAGATCTAAGTTATTATGATACTGTTTTCCCAGCTTCAAAATGCGAGGCATCAGACTGTTCAAAGCATGATTGGTATGAAAAAAAATGTAAATGGAAAATGTCAGGATTTCTCGTATCTTTTTGTTTAATATGAAAAGTTATTAGTTGAAGTAGTTCTGGACAGTTTATCTCACTATTTATTAATTTGAAGAGGAAACTCAAGTTCATAGAAATCCTCCTATCTTCTAATGAATTTATATTTAACTTAGTTTAGAGTTGATTGCACTCGTATTCATTTTGTTGAACACCTTAAGAATTTCTTTTCAACATTCTCAATCAAATTGATATTCATATTATTGTATGGGTCCCTTATAACCAAACAATTTTCAAGAATGGATCTTACGAAAGCACAATATAAAATCTTTTTTCTTTTAATTGAAAAATCAGTAGAAATTCTCAATACAAAACCAAGCATTTTGAGACTTTTTGCCACAATTTCTAATACTTGAAGATTAAAATTAATTTCGCTATCAAATTCAACTCCCAGATTGCGAAT